TGGCTAATTTATTATGGAACTTTAAATAGTTTGCTTAATCTCTGTGCTTCTAGTTCTTTTTATACAAAGCAAAAGATTAGGATAAAGTAATTTCTAAAATGCCTTTCTGCTCATGCTTATTAACTGAAAGGTTATCTGTAGGCATCTGAGTATCATTTTGTTGTTATGTGCTGTCAAGTCAGACCTGACTCACAGCAACCCCTCCTTGGGTTTCCGAGGTGCTATCACTACAGAAGTAGATTGCCCAACCTTCCTTCTGAGGAGTGGCTGGCGGGTTTGAACTGCCATCCTTCTGGTTAGCAGTCAGGTACCTTAGGCACTATGCTACCAAAGCAAGTATCATTCTAGTGACATGAAAGGAAATATTCCAGTCAGTTTCCCCAGAGGGAAACAAACAAACAAACAAAATGCTATTTTACATTAAAGCAACTCTGGTGGCTTGGTGCCTAAGACATTTGACTGTTAACCAAAAAACTGGCAGTTCAAACCCACCAGCCACCCCTCGGAAGGAAGACTCTGCAATCTACTTCCATAGAGATACTGCCTCAAAAACCCAAGGAGGGGTCGCTATGAGTCAGAATTGACTCCATGGCAGTAAGTAGAGGTTTTTTCAATTTTATATTATGTGAAGAAGAGAGATTTTTGAATGCCACAGAGATAATACAATTTATAAATACTACTTCCAGAGTTTGTTATTTCTTTTCCTTAGACTTCTTTTTAGACAGTTTGAAGAGAATGTAATTTTATGAATCATACCAAAGGGCATCTGTCTTTTCTGTCAAATTTTATTGAAACTGAGTAAAGGTAACATAATGAACATTCATTTAAAAAATTTACTTAGATAAATGAAAAGTGATTTTCTAAAATAGATACAGCAAATTACATTTGAAGTAGTTTAATAAATAAAAATGGCCAAATTTAGAAATTCTTCATATATAGGTTAATTATTCCTGAAACTGAATAATTTTTACAAATTATGTAAATAGTGCCAAGAATCACTTGTAACTATGTTATGTTAGGATTTACTAAGGATATTGTTCACATGTTACTTGTATGCCTGCATTTCTCTTATTACTTATTGAATAATATATAAAAGAACTCAACAAAAGATTTCAAAGGACTGCTTGAGAACACAAAGTTAAGTATTATAATGAAATGTGCAACTCTGGAGTTAAAAAATCTAAAGAGAACACCCTCACCATTTCTGATGGTGACAGAAGTGAATCCTTGAGTTGCAACATTGAAGGATTCTACAGGCAAAATATTGAACAACGTAGAAATTTTCAAAAGAAGGTGGAAGGAATACACATAACTATACCAAAAAGAATTGGTTGATACTCACCCATTTCAGGAGGTAGCATATGATCAAGAACCAGTGGGACTGAAGGAAGAAGTCGAAGCTGCACTGAAGGCATTGGCATAAAACAAGGCTCCAGGAATTGATGGAATACCAATTTTGAGATGTTTCAACAAATGGATCCAGTGCTGGAAGCCCTCACTTATCTATACCAAGAAATTTGGAGGACAACTACTTGGCCAGATGGCTAGAAGAGATCCATGTTGTGCCAATTCCAAAGATAGGTGATCCAACAGAATGCAAAAAATTATCAAACAATATCATTAATATCACACTCAAGTAAAATTTTGCTGAAGATAATTAAAAAATGGTTGTAGTAGTGCATTGACAGAGAACTGCCAGAAGTTACCTTTAGAAGAGGATGTGTAATGAGGGATATCATTGCTGATGTGATGAATCTTGACTGAAAGCAGAGAATAGCAGAGAGAGATTTACTTTTGTTTTATTCACTATGCAAGAGCATTTAACTGTGTAAATCATAACAAATTATTGATAATATTGCAAAGAATGGGAATTCCAGAACACTTAACCTTGCTCATGTAAAACCTGAACATGGTCCAAGAGGCAGTTGTTCAGACAGAACAAGGGGATACTACATTGTTCAAAATCAGGAAAAGCATACATCAGGGTTGTGTCCTTTCACCATATTATTCAGTCAGTATGCTGAGCAAATAATCTGAGAAGCTAGACTGTGTAAAGAAGAACGTGGCATCAAGATTGGAGGAAGATTCATTAACATCCTGTGATATTCAGATGACACAACCTTTCTTACCAAAACCAAGGAGGACTTGAAGAAGCACTTACTGATGGAGATCAATAAAATATACAGTCAGGATCGTTTACACCTCAGCAAAAAGAATATGGTAATCCTCACAATTGGACCAATAACAAATATGATAAATGGAGAAAATATGAAAGTTATAAAGGATTTCATATTACTTTTATCATCAGTCATCATCAATGAAAGCTACAGTCCACAAACCAGTGTGTTATTGCATTGGGAAAATTTGCTGTAAAAGACAACTGTAAAGTGTTGAAAAGCAAAGATGTCACTTTGAGATCTAAGATATGCCCTATCCAGTCCATAGTATCTTCATTTACCTCATATGCATGGGAAAGCTGGACAGTGAATAAGGAAGAGCTAAGAATTGATGTATTTGAATTACAGTGTTTGCAAAGAATACTGAATATACCATGGACTGCCAAAGACCAAACAGTTCTGCCTTGGAAGAAGTACAGCCAGAATGCACCTGAGCAGCAGTATTGGCAAGATGTCATTTTATGTTCTTTGAACATGTTATCAGAAGGAACCAATCCTTGGCAAAGGACATCATGCTTGGTAAAGTAGAGGTCCCATCAGAAAAAGAGAAAGACCTTCAATGAGATGGATTTTCACTGTGGCTGTAACAGTGGACTCAAACATAGTAACAATTATGAGGAAGATGCAGGACCAGTTAATATTTTGTTCTGTTGTATGGAGGCTTTCATTAATTGGCAGAAAAATTAATTTATATATCAGCTGGTACACTCTGTCAACCTGTGTCACCAAATGTACATCTTATTATAATGTGTGTCATCACTTTAAATGCATCCTCTACTGTACTTTGGGAAAAGGCTCTTTAGAGAAATTGGGCATTTCCTCGCTCCTCCAAGTTCACATAAAGCTGTATGTCTCAGGCTTAGAAAAGTATCTGTGAGGAGGGTAACATCTTATTTCCCCTATTTTTGATTGACTATATTATAATTTCCTGGAGAGTAAAGTTGTGTTATCCAATAGAGTAGCCATTATCCATCTATGGCTATTGAGTACTTAAAATGTATCTGGTCTGAATTGAGATGTGTTGTATATATAAAATACACACCAGATTTTTAAAGCTAATGCATATGAAAAGAATTGAAATATCCCATTTATTTTAATACTGATTACATGTTAAGATAATTTTTAATATATAGGTAAAGTATTAGAATTATTTTTACCTTGTTTTCTTTTACTTTTTTAATGTGGTTGTTAAATTTAGAATTTCATATAAGGTTCTCATAATTGGCTCACGTTGCATTTCTGTGAGATAGTGATGGCCTGGAGCTGTTGATTACCTCTATATGTGAATAACTATAAATATTTATAGCCTCAAAACATAAGCAAAATTGAAATAACTTTATGTACCAAAAGAAAGAAAACTCAATGCCATCAAGTCAATTCAGAATCAAGAGAGACCTCCATGGGGTTTCCAAGGCCATAAATCTTTACAGAAGCAGACTGCCTCATCTTTCTCCCACAGAACAGCCGGTGGGTTCCAGCTGCCAACCTTTCGGTCAGCAACCCAATGCTTTAAACACAGTGCCACCAGAGCTTAACTTTATGTATAAAAAACCAGAACCACATTTACTGCCATCAAGCTGATTCTGACTCATAGTGACCCCCATTGGGTTTCCAAGGTGGTAAATCTTTGCAGAAGTAGATTGCCCAGTCTTCCTTCCATGGAACAGCTGGTGGGTTTGAACCACCAACCTATGGTTAGCAGTCACGTGTGTTAGGCAGTACACCACCAGAGCACCTTTAACTTTATGTATAAACTCACTGCCATTGAGTCGATTGCAACTCATAGTGACCCCTCTTTGGGTTTCCAAGGCAGTATCTCTATGGAAGTAGATTACCCCGTCTTCCTTCCTAGGAGTGGCTGGTGGGTTTGAACCACCAGCCTTCTAGTTAGCAGTCAAGTACCCTAGGCATTATACCACCAGAGCTCCTAACTTTGTGTAGAGCACTCTTTAATAACTTTATGAATAGCACTCTTTAATTAAAAAAAAAAAAAAATGTATAATGTTTTCTTTATACATCACTAGCACCTTTAATTGAAAGCTGATTTTATTTTGTTTCCTCTGCCTAGATTAGCAAATACCTGGTCCTAGTCCTGGCCCAGGAGCCCTAATGGTTCAATAGTTAAACACTTGGCTGCTAACCAAAAGGTTGGTGGTTTGAACCCACCTAGCAACTCAGTGTGAGAAGGATCTGGCAATCTCCTGTGAAGATTACAGCCCAGAAAACTCTATGGAGCAGTTCTGCTCTGTCAAGTGGGATTGCCAGTAGTTGAAATTGACTCCATGGCACAACACAACAACCCCTGGCTGGATGATACTCATTTATGCACACTTTAAGGTCTCGAGAATATCCCTGACTGTGTGACCCTGTTCTTCCTTACTCCTCATTGATTTTTCCCTTCTCTCATTTCTAAAGGGTATCTAACAATTAGGTTATATTTTTAAATAAGCTCTAAAAGTGGTATGATCAGATTTTTGGAGGGAGTGGGGGCAAGAGATAGGCTCTTCTTTTGTTTTCTCAAAAATGATCTTAGTACACAATATGCTATTGACAAATAATTGGTTAATAAGCCCTCTTCATGAGCTGGAAATGTAAGTAAGCACTCTTTGACAGCTTCCTACTGCCATGCTAGATATTCCTAAAACCATAAAACATAGACTTAAGATTTAAAGTTATGCTCTTTTGATTAAACCAGTTTTAAAGTGGTGCTTGAGAAAGAAAAGTTCATAGCACTTTAATTAAAAAAAAGGAAATACATTACTGTATTTGGTTTTTTATCTGTAATGCCCCCTTTTGTGTTTGGTTTTAATGATCTTTGTCCAGGATGATGCCCGCCAACTCTTTGTGCTTGCTGGGGCTGCTGAAGAGGGCTTTATGACTGCAGAACTTGCTGGAGTTATAAAGAGATTGTGGAAAGATAGTGGTGTCCAAGCCTGTTTCAACAGATCCCGAGAGTACCAACTAAATGATTCTGCAGCATAGTAAGTAATCATTCCTTCAGAACTAAACTATCATGAGTAATTACTTGCAAGTCAAATATACCTCCAAGTCAATTTTATTGCAGACTTGGCTGGCACATTCTTGTGCAACTCAGGATATTCAGGATGACAATATTTAAAGTTTCTGTCTTTGCGTGTGTATGTTTGTAGATAGCAGTGTTCTATTTTCTTGGTGTTCAGAAGTGTCTCAAAGGACTCGGGGTTATGCAATTCTAATTGAAACATGCGGAATGGGACTCTTTTCCAGTATATTTCCAAGAAAGTAATTGGAGCTTCCCAAAGTTTACTCTGGACTTGGGTCTATGGGTATTTTGCCTGGGGCCAGACAAATGGGGGTAGAACTGACTTGAGGATCCTTTTACTCTGCTAATAATGATGCCTGAGACAAGTTAGTGACCCCTTGAATAGAGAGGTTTTTTGAAGGAGTGTGTGGTGATCCCAAAATTGTTCTGAGTAAATTGTACTGAGTAAAATAGCTGTCTACTTGAAAAGTGTCCATTTCAGTTTCCCCATTACATCAGATGCTATATTATAGATCCCTCAGCAGTTTTTTGGAAAAAAAAATCCACCTTGGTTTTCTAGGTTGTGACCCCAGAAAATTTGTAAAGTAAGTTGTAATAAAACTTTTTCTGTTTAATGATTTACGTAGAATTTAAAAAATCAAGTATTTATTACCATGATTTGGCACATACACTCAAAACTGTCAAATATGATATGTGTAATAGATCTTTAAAAATATGTACTAAGTAAGGTACTTGTTTTACTTTCCTACATAGTTCCTTTTTCTGGATAGCTATTGCCTCTTCGGGGCCCAAGTGAATGTTAGGTGGAAGATGCCAGATACTGGAAAGTGTAGATCAATGCGCACATGGTGCCACATGAAAAAGTAAACAAGTGGCTCCTAGGACCTGATTATCTTGTAGCATCTCATTCGTTGCACTTCCAAGTGCACACTATGTCCTATGTGAATGATTTACTATAGTGAATCATATGTATTACAAGCCACAGCAGTCTTTTTTATAAACCTGTAGTTCTTAATCTGTATTTTAATGTTTTGCAAGTGTATCAACCATATGTATCATTGCATACATAGATGTATATGTGTCTGTAACTTATAAATAATATTGAATATGTAGCCTATCTCTGCAACTGATTTAATCCCTTCTACAGGAGAATATTCATTGACCCAGTGAATTGGTTCCTGCTTCCCTATTTTGTGTACTCATAACACAGTATAGTTTTCCTTTTATAACAGTTGGGTTTATATTTATTTTGATGTTCTTTTATTTTGAGATTATTTAATTCTATTTTGACACTGTTACTGCACTGTAAATTCAGTAAGGTCTGTTTTTTCCTAACATTGTATCATTGTTACTTGACATACAGCAGTCGCATAGTATGTACTCATTTAATAAATGAATGAATAAACTACTACACAGAGGCTAAAAAATAAATTAGAAGATTTATTTACAGCAAATGCATAACTCACAGACTATATATTTGCTTTGACACAACTAGCACCTGCAGAAGAATCCAAATGGGAATCTTTATTAAGTGAGATTGTTGTGTACTGAACCCAGCAAGGAAGCTATATCAATAAGTCGTGTTAATGCTGTTCTAAGGAGCACTAGTAGTGCAGTCATTGACTGCGTGGTTGCTAACTGAAAGGTTGGCTGTTCAAACTCACCAAAGGCTCTATGGGAAAAAAGGCCTGGTGATGTGCTTCCATAAAGATTGTAGTCAAGAAACCCTGTGGTGCAGATCTGCTTTGTCCTATTGGGTGCCTGTGAGTCAGGATTGACTCAGTTGTGCCAAACAACAACAATTAGAACTATATAAGTCTCTAGGAAAAAAAGTGTATCTGTGAGTAATCAATACATTTTAAACAAGAGTAACTCGTTGTTTTAAAGAGTAATAAAAGCTGCATAACCTATTTTTTGTTTGTTTATTAAATCAGATTTACTTACAGTGAGGTATAAAATTATGTATGTGGAATTAAAAACAGATGAAGTACTAGTCTATTATTGGCAGTGCAGAAAGTTCAAAAACAGTAAGATTCTTTAGATGTAATAAATAAAATGTAGCATAAGCTATCATCTATATATTCTGTTTTGACACCACATACCTGTTTAAAATGTTTCTTGTTGCCAATTCACTGTTTATAATTTTGTTGTTAAGTAAGTCAACATTTGGATAGTTATCCAACTCTAAGTCCCCAAAGTAAAATATTTATTAAGGTTTTGTTTGCAAGACTGTGTTCTAAATGCTATGGCTATTTAGAGTTTTAGAGGATAATACAAATTTAAAGCTGCAGTTCTTTCTGGCTCTCTGTAGCTAGATTTATTTTCTAAATTATCTTTCACCATGCTGCTGTAGTATTACAGAACACTGCAGTCATGCTCCTTATATCCAGTTAACCTTAGGACTGAGTCTAGACTTCTCAGTTAAGGTTATACACAGCCAGATGGTCACCTTATTCTCCAAGAAACAAGACTTGACTTTCTGCCTCCATACTGCTTCTCTTGACTGGGACAGTAGCCTCTTCTCTCTCCATCCCAAACTTCAGGTGTTATTTACATCCCTGACAACCCACTCAGGCCCACACTAATCTCTTTATACTTAGACTTTCTATGACTCTATTGACTCTACCTGGTATTTTGACATGAAATAATACTCTCTAATGTTGCATGGTATGAAACTACTATATTTTTTATATCACAGAGTATTTGGCATTATTGACAGAGTCTGATAAGTAACTAAAATCAATGAGAAGTAAAATATTGAGTAGCTGGGCGTATATAGTGTTTTCCTGTACAGTATTTAATACAGGACTAATTGAAAAGGACCATCATCTATTCTGCCTTTGGCTGGAGTTTCCCTCACTACATGCTTAAAAATTAAAAGACTTTTTAATCCTCACTCAAAAGAGGAAATTTTGGAGCATAAACAGAGCTACAACAAAAGAGTATAATAAAGAGTTTTAGGAACTAAACTCTTGAAGACAATTTTAAATGCAGAAAATAATGTACAATTAGTTTGGATATTTTTTAAATCACTGCTATTATTACCAAAAGACCTACAGATCACTGTCTCTAAGAAACAAAGCAGACAACATGGGAAGTACTAATAGAGTATTTTTTCTTTTGAGTATTTTAAGATATAAGTTTAAATAGGTTGTATTACATCATCACACGTAAATTTTTAAACTTACTGCAATTCAGAATATTGCACGCATCAAGGTGTATTTTGGTCTTTGTTTTAGATGATCATTATTGGTATTTTAACTACTAGCATGCTTTTGTTGTTGTTTATTTTTACAGCTATTTGAATGACTTGGACAGAATAGCACAACCAAATTATATTCCAACTCAACAAGATGTTCTCCGAACTAGAGTGAAAACCACAGGGATTGTTGAAACCCATTTTACTTTCAAAGATCTTCATTTTAAGTGAGTAGCTTCAAAATATATGATTTATAAATTTAAATATAAAGCACATTGCTTTAGAAACTAGAAACAAAGGTTTAATAATGAAAGTTTAAAAAATGTTTACAGTTGGAAAATTATGAAAGTATTTTCTCAGAAGATTGGACAAAAGAATAGCATGGTGAAAGAGGACAAAAAGAAACATTCTTAAGAAGAATACTTGAACTTTTATTTAAGAAAAAATAGCCATTCAAGTTCCTTTTGCCTATATTTTTCACGGTGACTTAAACAACAACAAAAAAAGTTCTTGGCTTTTATTTCTGAACAGAAACTACTATTGTAATGTATTTTGGGAAATACTCATTTTTCATTTTTAGGTAAAAAGAGATAAAGTTGTACTAATAGAATATATATGCTTTTACGAACACATTAAGAAGAGGGATATCATTTAATATTCTATGAAAATGTTAATTCATTGTAAAACCAGTGTTTGCCCACAACATGTTTGTTTCATGACAAGAAATGTTTGTTTCACTTAAAGTGTGCAGAATATTCACCTACTGAGTCTGAGCAAAAATGGTGAATTGTATTTTTAGAAATGGGAAGCACCTTAGAGTTCGTTTTATCCAGCCCACTCATTTTAAAATGAACCAGTCTCATTATAAATATTGAAGTTCAGTTAAATACTACATTCAGAACTGCCTTTCACTTTTTCAATAACTAAAAATTTTCAAGGTATGAGAAAAAGTTCTGGGCTTAAATGCAAAATGTATTTATCTGTTGAGCCCTGCTGGTCAGTTACTTGATTTCATCTGTTTTCCCCTAGCAGATCTTCTGTTACCTGATTTCAAACCTTATGACTTTCTTCTACTAAATAATCTACTTACTAATTACACTAAGCATACTACCCTGTTCTTTGTCAGCTCTCTTCACCTTATTCTGTTGTTAAAACAATAACAATGAAATCATGGAAAAAGAGGGTATATATCCCATGTAATGATATATACATGAGTAGAGTGATTTACATCATGAGATATTCTATGGAAATAAAACTTGTTTGTTTTCATAGAAATCTCAGGCCACTGGATCTTAAAAAATACTAATTTAAGAAAAAATTTTGCAGATGTTTCCCTTTTTATCTTGGTTAGTATTATTTGGTTAAGAATATTGAAGCTAAATAAAGCAGCTGGCAGAAGTTACTTTTTAAAAACCACCAGTTTCCCTTAATTCAAATTAAATGTAGCATTTCATAGGTACCAGTTGTCTGCCCAGCATAAGGGACAGTGCCTAATATATAACTGTGATAGGATCAGATCATTCAGATTGTGTTAAAGCTCACATATTCCCTAGACTAAATACATATTTGTAATATCCTTGGAAACAATTTTTTTGTAACCCAACAAGGTTGAAATTGATTTTTAGATAGGTTACAACTGCAAGCATGTGAGTCAATCAAATGCCATTTTATACTTGGAAAGCTTTATAATGTTGACTCCAATTGACAAAACTCCAGTTGTCAGTGTAGAAAATTGTGTTAGAAAAGATATTTGTGATGTTTTTATTTTGTAAACACTTTAATAATTTTTATACTCTGTTTGTCTGTTGTAAAATTTTTAATACTGTGAGGGATTACATAAATCTCTAGGTTTCAGATTATGTCTAGTTGAAGTTTTTGGTTTCTTTATAGAATTTAAAAATTTCACAAGACTGTGTACGTTTGTCTTGAACTTTTAACCTACCACTCCAACCCCACAACACTAAAAAGGTAGAATGAAATGTATATATGTGAGGAAAGAGTAAAACAGCTGCAAACATTGATACATTTGAAGTTTATCAAAATTTTTTCTTCATTTTGTCTGCAAATGGAGTATCTCGTATTGATATTAGAATTATCTTTTCTCTGTTACTTTGAATGAAACTTTTATGATTTAAGATAACCATTTTACATAAAGCTTTAATCTGCACTGTGGATTAGCATCTTTGCTAATACTAGTGCTTTGAAACTGTAATGATATAAAATGATATAAAAACAAAATATCTCACAGCATCTTTTTTTTTTTTTTTT